TTCGTTTTTAGTGCACATGAGTTGTACGCAAGTGCACACCCAACCGTAAAGAGCATGCATCAATATATATATGTGGCAAACAAGCAAGGTTGAACGAGCCGAGAAAAACGGCATAGGGCTTGAACCGTTTTCGTCAGGCTTCCGCTCAGTTGGCCTGTTGTCTTCCTTTAGTAGGTGAAGTAGCAGGAAGCTAGCGGTACGAGCAAAGCCAGTCAGCCGGTCAGCCAATGAAATAGTGACGAGTTACCACCTTTCTCATTGGCCCTTGTAGCCTTCCGCTTGGCGGTGCTGATGCTGCTGCTCGTTTGGCTGGGCTCGAAGGCCGCACGAGTCACCGAGGAGAAAACAGGACTGCAACATCAACCAGGCCCAAAAAAGGGGAAGGGGGTGGTTCAGGGGAATCGATGAAGACTGCTAACGAATCACGAATTACCAATCACGAAACGACGGAGAGACGGACAGGGAAGCGAGGGAGACATTCGCTTCGAATTAGCAAGGAAAAGCAGCAGCAGCAGAGTAGAGAGAATCGGCCACTTTTGGGGTACAGCGCCAGCCACTGCCACCACCATCACTGTTACTACAGCTTATTGTGATAGCGATTGGGAACCTTTGTGGGGTGGTCATGGGGGTAGCCACAACGAAAAGGGGAAAATCGGGGAGGCAATGCCGTACAAAGGAGTGCGGGGTTGTTAGAATAGCCGCGCACCACAACCACAAGAAGAGCATCTGGCCATCGGTCTTGTTGGCCAACTTTCGAAATAGACAATTTATCATGCAGCTGAATGGTGGCGAATAGATGGAAACTAAACGGATAATGACCGTTAGGGCATAAAACGAGCCACGAGAGAAAACTACAGCCAATGCTAGGGCCGTGGCACTGCATTCGGACAGTTTGACCCGAGGTAAATGTGTGCTGATTGCATAGATGGTGGGCGGGAGTTCTACGTTTTGATCTGCACTAAATAGATAATAGCTTCCTTAAGGTTCTTCGAAACGGTCGGGTTTGGGAAATTGCCCAATGGTTATGATTTTAAACGACTCATTTGCTCAGAACAGAGCTCATTAATAAGACGCGTGCATGTGTAAGAGCGTTATCAGGGAAAATTAAATTCTCAGTCGTTGTATACGCCACATAAGCAAGACCAATGACGGGTAAGCCTACCTGGCAGACGGTTACTCTGGAAGTACGTCTTATAAACATTACTGAACGTTTCTTAACTCTTTATCTCCAGTATACAAGCAAACAGGATCAGCAGGTTGGCCTACCTTTTCCTGCCGACGGATGCCGCTTGAATTACCTTGATGTCGGCTCCTGTGATTTTGACACCTCTAAGATTACCTACAAACGCAGACTGCACACGGCGTAATAGTTAGTTCAATCTAACTTATTCGCTTTGTTTTTGAGCGTGGCCGTATCCCCCAATGTTCAAGTAGGGGAGGATTGAACCTGTAGGAAACAAGAAAGGCACGACTGCCTGCCCATATACCCATTTGACCCGCGAGTGAGTGCCCGTCGCTTTTAAGATCAACAGATTAATTCGTGTCAATCACATCACTTCAACTAGTTTCAGGCTTCGAAGTCCTTAGCGCCTTTACTCACGCATTTCCTCGTCCCATCAGGTCTCAGCGTCAGCATCAGCCGCTCGATTTTGGTTAGCTTGTTCGCTCACGCACGAGTCAGCAAACGGGCGAATCCACGCTAGAAAAGAAGGCAGTAGGGGGATATACAGCGATGGTGTTATGGGCTTCAAGGATATTGAGGGCGGTCAATGGTAGGCAAGGAACGAAAGTTGGAAAAGGCTCCGAAATCGTTATTTTTGAAGCTGTAACAACAATGGCAGCGGCGGCGGTGGATCGGCAGCTACCCAAAGGGCCCTTGCGATATCCGAGACTCGCGCTATGGTACCGAAACCGAAGTTGACGAGCAAGGGAGTGTGTGCATGACGCGACGCAAAATTGCCTGGAGGGTTCGCCGTCGTCGACGTCGTGTGCGGATTGAACTAATATATAGCGCTGGTAGACGGTTAGGCAGGTAGGAAGCCGATATTAAAGTGAAGTATTAATTGATTGACCGTGCTAAGAAGGGAATGTAAAGCAGCGAATTGGAATGAACTCAGGTAAACGTAACATCATCATAGCCATCACATTGGCCTGTGCTGAGAGCTTGGATGCAAGCAAAGACGGTTGGCAGCTGGAACATCGGGATGGGGGCAGTGTGCCGTTGAAGGCTTTGGAGGTGAAACCCTATCTGCACCTCCTCCCCCCGCCCTTGACAAAAGAAAAATCCGCCTGGTTGCTAGCTATAACAACCTGCATACGCACACACTCAAATACCGCTGTCACAGTAGCTAATATAGCTACCGCCACAAGGCGTCCTAAGCAGACGACACGATAGCAGAAATCTGAAATTGACGAGCGCGAAGAGCTCTGTTAATTATTGCTGATGCTCTCTTCGTGTGTTCATATGTGTTGTGTCGTAAGGGGTACTGAGGTAAGATGGGTGGTGATGCGGATCGTCGAATGTGGGCGAGACTGCTTCTGTTAGCTGCCTATTTAGTTTCATCGACAGCTGAAGGGTGGTTTCTTAGCATGCTAAGAGGGAGCACCGAGGTTCCATAGTTGGAACAAGGAGTATGAAATGAAATAGACTGAAATCGTTGCATGGCTTCCTGTGCTTATGTCGCTTTTCACAGGAACAGTTTACGAAAGTCGCGTACATACAACACTGAGGTAGTGTGGAACATTTTTTTGAGGGGCAAAGCTAACGTCGTCCATAAGGTGCATGCGTTCCCACACATAGAGCATTCGCCTGATTGGCAGACAGAATCAACTAACCAGAAAAATTCAACAAAAAGAGCCTCTTCTTTACCGGAAAATAATTTGTCTGCGTTTAAAAACAGGTAGAGAGAGTGTTAACTAGTTAATGATTCGAGAGCCGGTTGTTATAGTGACGCGAATTGATTATTATAATATTGATAATTTATTATTATTATTATATATTATTGTTATTGATCGTTTATTAGATTGGCCCATTTAATAGTATAACGTTCCTGATTTCTTGAGTAGCCCTGCTGCGAGCTAATTAGAGTGATTTCTCTATAGTGAAACTGATATCGCTGACCCGGGTCATTAGCAAGGTTTGATGGGCAATTGTCATGCATCCATTATGGACATTTGTCATAACAAGTTGCTTTACTACCAAATGCAACTGCACCAAAACAACTAATATTGTAATGAGTTAATAACTAGAACTTTTGTATATGAAACATTTTGTCGGCTGAATTGGCTACCAGTCTTCACACAAAAGCCCGACTACCTAAAGATGAAATTGGGTCGCGTCGCTTCATATATATTTTATGACACACTTGTAAAAAGAGTGTTTTTTTTTTCTTTAAACCCAGAAATGTTTCTTGTTATCAGTTAATTACTATAATGCTTGCGATGGCGAACATTTTCCAATATTCTGAAAGAGTGAATTTCTTCGAGTGCTACTCCCATGGCTTTCATAGCACTATCAATCGTTGTGATGGCCGCGGCGCTAGTTGGTCTTCCCTCCTGCGAATACGACAGTGGCAGTGTTCGTAGCAAGAGTGGATTTTCCGTTTGCTATGGTCGATTGGTGATGTTTCCATTTAGGGTCTTGGGTCCAAACCGGCTGCAGGCTTCGCTTAGTGAGGTGCCCTTTGCCCTGCTCTACTTGGCGCTGCCATTCGTTCTCTCTCTTTCTCTCTTTGAGATATCCACTCGTTTCTTCCCGAAGTTCCCCCTAGCAACGTTTGTTCCTGTGGCAATTGCTACGACGGTGGCTGTGCCTCGCTCAGTCCAGCCGCCGACTACCAGAGCCGTCCTCCGAATGTGGAAAAGGAATGGGGGAGTTAATTAATGAATTTAACTATTTTGTGGTTGCTCGAGGCTATTTTGGCAGAGCAGCTCGCGCTGCTACCGCGGCCAGAGTGCGAGTGAGTGGAAGAGGGCGCTTCGAACAGAGTCGTTGAAGCAGTACTGGTAACGTTAGGACGGGAGCAGCGCCACCGGTGGACGCTAGCTATCTTCCCTCATAGCGCATGTTGGCTGGCTTTCAGCCGGCATCAGACTGCAGCTCTAGGTTAGTTTGGCGGGCAGCAGCAGTACTTTTACCAACACCACCGCTACCGTGGCAAACACATCAGTCGCATCACACAGCGGACGCTTCTCATAGGGAAAAGCTAGCTTAACAGCGAAGGGTCTCACCGTTGTTGGCAGAACCGCGTACATGTATGATAGGAGCAAACTGGGACGAACCACTGGAGAACCGGGAATCCGAATTGGGAGTGGACGTAGAATGGAGTTACGCGTCAAGGGGGCAACGCACCAAAACCCTTCGCGCAACACTCATGGGGGGCCGGGGTACTCGGGGTACGCGAGTATAGCTTATAATTAGGATAATTAGAAAGCTCTCCAGCCGGGTGGTGGTGATAGTGGTTGTAGCGGCCAAGCAGCCTGCTTGGTCGACGCTGCGTCGATCGCTCGTCGTGGTCGTGTGTTTATGCGCTGCCTGTCCGCCTGCCGGCCGGCCAGGCTACGTCTGTGTGCCTGTTCGTCCGTGTGCGCGAGCGAGCCAGCTACAGCTACCCTACGGAGCGTTGCCGCCCTTTTTTGGCCCCCGTTCTCCCATGGCCCCACAGCGTAAAAGACCCGGTACCGCGGGCGGGATAGCAGCCGAACGCTATGACGGCCTCAATTATGAATTAGTGTAATCGTAGATAATTACCATTTATTATTAGAGACGGTATGTGGCTCTACCAGCAGAGCAGCGAGCTACGGAGAGCAGCCGAGAGACGATGATAAATAAGTGAGAGGAACAGAGCACTAGAGGAAACGCATCGCCACCGCTGCCCTGTCGTTCTCTGCCGGCTCTTGCGTTGAGCGTTGTCTGTGTATAGCAAATGGAATGACACAACGGTATAAGCAACAGCAGTGGTGAGTTAGGCCGCATACGTGAGGCCAGCTACAGTATTATAATCGAATACGATACAAGCTAACTAGACACGCAATGTAACACTTGGATAGACGTTCTCCTGCTACTACCATCGAGCTGTTCTCTTGCTAAAGGTAAGCGGCAAAGTAAAAGCCTAACACTGTAGCAGAGTACCAATCTATACCAGTATCAGTACTTAGAGCCAAAAGGGACGAAACTCGACGAGATAGTCTATACGCCTTACTTACGAGCACACACAGAGTATGATACACATTATAAACGGCAAATAAATAGCGCTGATGATTGCTAGCGGTAGATACAATTACACGGTGCATATCTGATTCTACTGCGTAACTGCCAAGGCGGCTAATAATTATATCCATTTTACTTCGCTAGATCGGTTCCTCTTTCGTTGTTTTCCCAGGAAAGCCGTGTCAATTTCTGTACTGGAATAGTACCATAATCGGCCGTAGGCGATACCGTGCTTGGGCTGTAGATAGCACGTTGCTTATGGCGACACCTACCGTTTCATGCTAAATCGACGTTGCTGCTCTTCAAGACAAAGAGGCAGGGGAAGGATTCTCGGTATAGCCACCATGGAACCAAGCTAAAGCAATCTGACCCCTTTAGTCGAATACATATGTTTAGTAGAAGCTGGTTGCCCGCGTTCTATTATTTGATTCTAAGCTGGTGAGGCGTTCGTAGAATAATTTGTCACTTGTTTTACTCAGGTAGTTCGTAAGCGGGTACGTAAAAAAACTATTTATTCAAGAAAGGCGGCGATATATATACAATCTTGATGCGAGAATATTGTTTTTTGTCAGCGCTTGCCCAAGCTACTTAGCCTTTTTTCAGCTGTCTTGCTACGAGAGAGTAAAGGCGCACTTTCGTTTTTTGTTTATAGCTCAGTATCAACTTGAAGGCACGTACCCAATGCCAGCAGAAGTGTTGAGGCATACGGACCACACATGTGAATAGTAAGCACCGTTTCAATAAAATACGCTCGCAAGAAATATTCTACCACTCATCAATGTAAACAGGCTCTCTAAGTAGAAAAAATATAAAAAAAATTATTATACAGAAACGTAAATGCATGCCCCAGGTATAATGATTCATGCGGTCAAGTTTCAGCTACCAAAGAAAATTAGCAATTATTGTTATAAGGAATGTTCCGTTCAGCTGTTCGTACAGGCTGCTTTATTATTATTTCTCTTTATAATTTGCATAATAAACATTGTTTGTTAAATTATTCTGTGCGCGGTTCGTATCCAAATGTGCCCATAGACATCATGCTGGCATGACCCGTAGTGGCATTCGTTTGTTCGGCGTTCGATAGGAAAGCAGCAGACGTGTAGTTGCAGAATCGGCCTCTGCACCGTAGAGGGATTGCCTTGTCGTTTAAATGGTTACTCTTTGCTGCCTTTTTGCCGGTTGACTATTTGCCCGTTGCTCCGATGTCTGTTTCCTACCATAGTTTTCTCTGGCCGGCAATTTCGTTTCCTTTTCCTAAGAATGGAACGAACCGGAATCGACCATCTCGCGCCGCTGTACCCCTTTTTCCATCTTTGGGGGCTTGACTTCGCTACCTCCCCTACGTACCTCCTCTTCCATAGCCCTAGTTTGGCCCACGACCCCCCCACCGCCCTCAGCTCTCGCGTATTGGAAAACCGGCACGGCGGCACCGGACGAAACGATTGCTACCGCTGGTGATACCGCTACGACTGCTTCCAGCGGTTCCACCGTTGCTACCAGCGTCCCAGCCGCCGCTTTGTTCCCAACGGCGATGGTCTTACTTTTTGTCGCCGGGCTTATTTCTGATATTGGCATCGACATGAAGAATTCTTGACGTATCGTCCGAGGAAGAAGAAAAAGGAGCGGACCAGTGGCGGCAGCCGACCGTCTCTCAGCCGGCCAAACGAGGGATCGGTAAAGCGGCGACCTATGGAGGAGAGACCGTGAAAAATATAACATACACCTCGAAATATTGCCCGCAACTCTTTTTCCTTTTGCCTCTCCACGTTTTACTCAGCCACTCTTCTTAGTGCTCCCTCGATCGCTGCCTCCGTCCGTTTCTCTATCTGAACGCTACCGCAGCAGCGGCCGCCGCCATCGTTGTCCGCATCGTCAAGCAGCAGTAGTCGTAACAGCAGCACCAGTCAAGCAGCAAGCGCAGACAGGCTCGCGCTGTGGCCTATAGTAGCCTAACTGTGGCAGCTCCGGCACATGCACACGAAACTAGCCAAGAATGGGGCACAGGTACCAGTCAGCTAGGCAGCAACTGATACGACTACTAGCCAATTTATCCCTTTCCTTCATTCCTCAGAAGTGGCACCGGCGGCATTCGTCCCGTTCTTATTTCTCCATCCGCCGCGATCGCTGGCCGTTTTGTTGTGAGGTTTAGGAGGCGCTACGAGGGAGAGCAGAAGCTGGGGTACAGGCTGTGATCGAGAGGAAAAATGATAATCGCTCAAATAGCTGATGCCCTGCTAACGGAGAAAATTGCCAGGGGATAAGTGGGCTTATGAGGTAAAGGGAGTTGGGGGTGCAAAGTAGCGATTCAAATAGTGCTTGAAAACCGATTCCCCCCGCTTTATCTTTTTACATAGTTTTTCACTATACCGGCAACCTTACCTTATCCAAGACCCCCAATCCGTATTTGCGTGGATTATCCTTGCGCACGATAGCTGCAGTACGACATGGTGATGATTTTACATCCAAGGCAGAACGAAGCTTGAAATGCGGATTTGAATACAGAGGACGGTGCCTGAATAGACGAGAATGATCATTCTACAAAAAGATAGGCAGGACTAGCTTAAAGTTTACACTAAAACTAAGTAACGTATAAATTAGCTAGATATTAGGTCGATGCGAAGGTAAAACGGCTTTTCTCTCGCAAAGCCTATTTTAAGACAAATATCAATGCATGCCTGTTGGATGGACAAGGCCTGTCGTTTTTGTGGGAGTCACTTTTACTCTTTTCCGTTTATAGAGACCACAGTGTATAAAAAAAAGAACACGAATTAATTTTTTTTTCTTCTTTTTTTTTAATTAAAGAAACCACAGCTATATTATGTTCATTACTTATCATTTATAAAAAAATATGCCAACATCATTTGTCATCATTGTAGAATAGTAAATGCCATACGCTGATAACTATATGCGTATACGTGTCTCCGTAGAGTGCTCATCCAAAACTGAGAATTTATTTTGATGCCATCGCAGCATTTTTAACCTGAAATTGTTATAAATACTAGATGTGCAAATATTAATGCCTAGAAGGTTGAACCTCAAGTTTGTCATACATAATTCCGAGGTACGTCCTTCGCCAAAATTCCCAAAAACAATGGAGCTCACTATCCTGTTGTTATGGGCTACAGAGAAAGTTCCAGGTCTGAAATATACCACAGATTAATTTTTCTACTGAATGACAGTTTTAGCTCTGTGTATAATACGCAGTGCCGTTCTTTTTACATACTTTCGACATTCTTTATCTTAAAGATCAGGATTGCAATTTAGCGTGCATTAATTGTTTGGTTCATTCGTATCTTATGCTTCCTTTCAGAGGCCGCCGAACGCCGGTTTCATGGACACCCCCAGTAGGTGGCTGGAGTGAGGGCGGGGCACCTTGCGGAACTACGCCTCCGCACGGACCCCTAGGAGGAGCAGGACCCCCTGGCGCCGCCCACCTGGCGGCTCACGGACCCCATACCCCTACAAGACCGCCCAGTTGGGACCCTTTCACTCCTTCTGATTCGCGTTCCTCACCTGGCTCCGATCAGCTATCGAATATAGATCACCCTGCTGGTGGAAATCCGCCGCAGCAGCCTCCGAGTGGCCCTATTGGACCGGCACCGAATAATCCCCACCACTTTTACAACTTTGACGGTAAGTTATCAAAAACAAACAAGCATACGCACAGAAGCATATGGAAATACGAGCAGAAACACGTGACGGCTAACCTTCATACATGTTCTATTCATATTGTTATCGTCACTCAATGGATACTGGCTTAATTAGAATCTTGCCTTTTTTTGAACATTGTCCTACTAAACATAGGTCGATAAACAAGACATTAAGCAGACAAAAATAACCGTTCATTGAGAGACGAATAAATACTGGTTAAATCCGGAACTAAGAAGTATGGTGTTATGGTCATCTAGCACGTCGTCTTCACCTATATTACATATAGCAGCCTTATAATATCATTATTTGATTCCACATATGATTCATAAATTTCCTACTCTGTAAGGATAATCGCGTCATGGATTCCAGCCAATAGCATATGAGCTATTACGTGTTCCTATGATCTCCTGGGATCTGATGTGAGCCCCTGAGAGCAATCAGTCACATTCTTGCATGGCACAGATAGGTTTAGTGGATAGGTTTTTATCACGCATATAAAAATAGAAGTTCAAACTTTCATGCCATGCTGACAGCAAGTGTTTGGCTAGACTTGTAATGCGGTGTTCGACTTAACTTCGAAGCGTTGGCAGTGGCGTTGAAATCGATGAGAAATTTAAGTTATGTCTGAGTCCCGTGTCCAGGTGAGGGTCTTCATTGAACAAAGACTGCCGCTACGAGTAGCAGGTACAGTATACAGAAAGGATGTCGGAAGTTATGTCCCAGCTAAATTGATCTTTAGTGTAATAACAATCTCTCTAACCCCCCTGCTGTTCCATGCCTGGCCGTATTGCCTCGAGTTTTAGCCAGATGGCGCATATCTTAGAACTCCCAGGTACCATTCACTGGTTATACCGCAAAAAGGCGCAGCCAGACTAAGTGTAGTGTTTCCGCCACCCCACCAGCGGTTTGTCATCATTTTCAATCGTTGAAATATGTGCCAGCTAGTTTGAGCCACAGTTCATTGTGTAATACTACGGGTCTACTGGTAGCTGAATAGGAAGGGCAAGGAGGGATATGGAACGCCTAAGGCTCCCAGTGTTGGACGTAAGTCGCCGGCTAGCGATGATGGCATGCTTTTAAATCTTAAACTTTTACTTGCAGCTGTTTTCGAATTCCTTCTGTATGTGGCCCTTCCCTCTTTTGAACACTGGCTGTTATTTTGTTTTATTTCTCTTGCTGATCGGAACTCTTTTTCTGTTCGCCCAACTTTATTCTGCCTCTACCTGGGTTCTCACTCGCACACATCTTTCTACCATGATCTTCTCTTAGTTCTTTGTTACCTCGCTCAAAAAACTGCGTTTCACCGCCGTGGCCACTGGTGCTTCTGCTATTACATGTCTCCCAGTTTTGAGCCTGGGGCTCGCCTTCTCTGTGTCCCTTTCATTGGTTCGTTTTTCCTAATGTTTTGTATGTTTGAACAAATAAGCACTCTGCTGCTGATTACGTAGCACGTTCCGTTTAGCCACGTCTAACGTCCGCAGCGTCTGGCTATTTCCCTGTAATTATGGAATACCTCTGTTGTGCATTTGCCTATGCGGCTACAAACCTAACGGCGTTCTCGCTATAGGACGTCGTGATAGGTCGCTAGACAGGAGACAGCAGTCCTTGGCTGTGAAAGCGAGGCTAGCTTGCTCGAAAAGCAAGAGGAACCACGCGGAGCTGAGAGGGACACGAATCGTGGGGAAAGGGAAGGCAGGGATCATGTAATGGAGAGTATGAAGTTATTCAAATATTTGATGATGACTATGATCGTGTTGCTGTTGCAACAGTGGCAGCAGCAGTCGTCAACGATGCTGATGGGAAGGATGACGATGAAGGCGAACGATGACGCTACTTTTGACGAATAGACGCTGCTGGTGAACGCGCAAACCGGAATACGAACGGATGAGCGGATATTAGCCGTTAGATGTTGCCGATGCTGCTGCTACTACTTTGTAAATTTATATTTATCCCACTCCCTTTAAGGCAATACTAACGACGGGTCCCTAACCGACCACTGTGCGTCGTCCACTTTTCGTCTGCTAAGCTTACTATTGCTGGAGCCCTCGCGATCCCTCGTCCCTCCAGGCAGCCCCTACTCGGTCGTGGTGTGCGTGCGTTCTACCGTCATTATCCACCCGCTTCCATGGCCCCTACCGACGTCGCGTCGCCCCCGTAATAGCCCTTCCCTGCTAGCAGAGAGGTGATTTTTCCCCTGTGCCACCCCACTCCAACCAGCCATTGGGCAGCCTGCCTCTCTCTCCCCATCCTACTGGAATGCTGCCGCTGCTGGCGGCTGATTGAACTATGCTCTGTTAATTGAAAAAGTTCCCCCTCTCCCTCTGTCTCGCCTGTAGCGCTACAGTCGACGCCAGAGTGGCAGCGGCATGCTTCCGAGATGGGCAAGTTTTAATGTGACGCCAGCCCACCAGACTTTTCTTTTGCCTTCGAATATCTAACGCGCACCATGACACACATCTTGTAGCGTTGCTAAGCGAAAGATGAAATCGGTGTGCGTGTCATCAAGTGCGTATTACAGTAACATGTTAGAATAGTAAGAAATGAGGTTCTGGGCGCAAGACCTTATGTGATTATTGTACACATTCGGTGTTAGACGGCATATGATTTGCTAGCTATACGAAAACGACAAATAACTACATTGAAATATATGTTGAAATGTGACTTGAGCGTAATTTGTTTGTGTCTGATATATCTTGTCAACTGAGCTTATATTTCCAGAGTTACCAGCTGGCTGTAGTAAGTTAGTTTAGAAGCAAAACAGTTCCTTTCGATGGTGAACTACAAACTTTAATTTCAACTACGGAGAGTAGCTTAGTAGAATACGAAGAGACGATACCTAGCTGCTTCGAATCTTTATCCAGCTCGGCCAGCCTCATTGAATGTATTTGTGTTTCAAGTACTCTTCAAACCATGGATTCCGAATCCACAATTGTGGACCAGCTTAAGTAATCATAGCTGCCATTAAACTGGACGTAATTATTACCTTTACCGTTATAATCACGCATATTTTACAGGTGATGTCAACGACGTTAGTTACGTGGTGATTTACTGCAGGCCAAAAATTCTCGGATAATTTATGTTCATCAATATTGTTACTGACGCACAAACATTATCTACAAATGTTTTCTATAATCAATTTCTTTTCATTGTTAGGAAAGTTACACGCTTTGTAGGCATGGTGATCGTCGCTTCGCGTCCTGTCGTTCCTGTTCTCTAGCGTTTGTGCTCATATTTGCTTTGTGTTTCAGTTAATCACCTATCAGCCATTGTTTCCATTTAATAGATATCGTTTTTTCGATAGTTACTTCGTGCCACTAGAGCGTGTGTAGACCATTACCTTTGCTTTTATAATTTAAATATTAATTGAATTACTAATTAATCTGTGTTAATGAGCCTCTTTTCATCTCTGGTATATACTATATACAAGCTATATAACTATATAGAAGCAACAGATCACGGCCCCATGGACATTTTGCCTACGTAGACCTGTGAATCTTTAGTTAATTATAGTATGCCTACTTTTTTTTATGGCAGTTTCTGTTTTCTTCGTTAACGTTAGGCCATGCGTCAACCGACGTTTGTCAACCACGAATCATGGACGTTGCGGCGATACCTGTGACGAGAAAACACGATTTCTATCTAGTTCGTTCGCTAATTTGATCTACCTACTAGCGACTGGTAATTGGCGGATTAATTCTGGTCGTTGACCATTCGAAAATACGGCACTGGCTGTCATCGCAACGCTATCGGCTTGTCTTTGCCGCTGTGTCCGCCATCGCTATTATTCGAAATTCTCTCTGTTACTATTTTCACTAACGAACGAGCACGAGTGCTAGTATATTAAGTTATTAGGCAATTAATCAGCTAATGAATATTCGGCTCGTGCGAGCCACTAATAACTTCGGGCACGCCGCGAAGCCGTTGCCTGTTGACCTCCCTTTCGTGTTTCCTCCCATCAACTCCTGCTCTTCCTATAACGTTCTCCACGTTGAGTCTTAGCTGCACCGCCGCACCGGCCGATCCTGCTATCGCTAGCGACGGTGGCCACGCACCGTCGTCGCATGCTCGAACAATGTTCTTGACTTTTCGTCGTTTTTCTTCGCTGCCAGCGGCTTTCTTATATATATGGTCATTATTGCCGCAGCAACAGTTGTTTATGGGATGCTAGAAATATCCAGCCTTTTTAGAGGGGATAGCAGCGAAGAAAAGTGAATAGGCCGGAAGATTACAGATACCGGGAAAACTGATGTGAAAGATAAATAACGCTGCTGCAGAGTTCTGCGATTCCTGTTCGATGATTGAAAATAGCGTTTGTTTTGAGAAATAATTATGCCCCTTTTTCGTTCTTCTGCACCCAAAGGGCCTTAGCTAAACGGGATGCCACTTGAAGGTAGCGACTGGAATAGTCTATTTGTCTTGGCTTACTAATGACGGTGATTATGATTGTCTCCAAATTTGCAACGCCCCGAAGGAATAACAACGTTCGTGTTTCCGCTGCACGACTCTCGAAAAATTTCGTTGAGAGCTGTTCTTCTAAACAGTCTTCTACGGGAACATCTCCGAGATTCAGCGAACGGCGCCACGCCGTTTTCAAGCAAGCCGCAAGAGTTGATGGGTTTTGGTTGTTTTTGTGCTAATCTTAGGTGTACTATTGGGTGACAGTTGAATCCGGTCGTTTTAGAATCGGCAAGAACGTAATGACGTGCTGTTTTAGTTTTCTTTAGTCATTCGTCAGGAAAAAGACGACAAAATCGATATAAAAAATCCCTTAGCACCAAAATCACTCATCGTAAGTTTCCGTGGGAATTATGAGGTTGGCGTATCCTTCCGTGACAGATTTTCGTTCTCCGCTAAATATCGAATAACGAATGGTTCTATTTGAAGTGTCGATACAAGATGACAAATAATAAACGTGGTCGTCATAGCTGTGCACAAGACTTCACCTATCTACAATGTGTTTACTGCCGTCAAGCATTACTTTAAACGGCTAGCATGAAACGAAGTGCGCCTACGCCCGGCTCTGAGCCTAGAGAACTACCTGTTTCTATGTTAATAGGCAAAGCTGTTGCCAATGCACCATCACGGAGATATGCATGAAATATATATAAAACTGTTGCCATTACAGCGCAGCACGTGACAAGTATTAACTGAGTAACTAGCTCCATTTGGCCGAACGTTGCACGCACAGTATCTCCTCGATAGGGGGTTTTTAGTTGAAGATTTTAGAAGAGGTAGTGGGTTGAGTAACCGCTGAAAGCAAATTAACCAGCTTAAATGGATGTTGTATTCTGCACAAATACAACGACCAGAAAGTAGCGGGGTTAGGCTTTGCTGTCGTTCACCATCTGGCGCCATCGACAGAAAGTGTGCCTTAATAAACAGTGTTGTCTGCTACTTATTTTATACTATCTTATTCTTTTAGAGACGTTCGACAAAAACGCTACGACAGTTTTCGACGCGTTAGCGACGTTCTCCGACGATGCGGTAGTATTGGTAATGAAAGGAACAGCGGTCGATGGCAGCGAAGCGAGTATTTTCTTTCTAGTGCTCTGTACATGCAATGTGCCTGGATCTGACCAAAAAGGCAGGACTTTCGGACTGTGGGTGTGAGCTCGTCTTGCGTACCCCTAAGCCGGGATCGAATTAGATTGGACTTAGGCAACAATTCAGACGCAGACTAGTGGATACGCAGTCAGGTCCCGATTGATCTTCCAAACAAATTACTATAGTTTCTACAGGAACGAATGGCCAGTTGCCGTTCATCTGTGGCAGGAAGTCGAAATGGAACCGCGATTGCAGCAGCACTATGGCAGGACCACCATGGAGCCAATGAGGGAGAACAACGACGATTCGAAGAAAGGACGTGGTAGTCGAGCCGGCGGTGGTAGCTTATTAGGTGTTAGCAAATTTTGGCATAATTAATTAATTTCATTGATTAAACCGAAGCCCCGCACCCTCTTGTCGGTCGCCGTCCACCCCAGTTTAGCGCCCTCTCTCCCGTTGCAGTGGCGTCGTTCTGTTGCCCCGCGGCCTTGAAAGCAGCCGATGGCGGTGGCAGCAGCCGTAACGACGATGCGGTGACGTAGAGAAGATCGCGTGGCTCTCTTCACCGAAAGCGATAGAAAAGAGGGAGAAAGAGACAACTTCTTTGACGTAAGCGCTTGCAATGTCCCTACGCGTAGCAAGTTTAATCAAATTTATTGCTAAAGCAGGCCAGAGGGTTGCGGTCGTGTAAAAATAAGATGACAGCTCGGACGTCCGCGATGTTGTTGAGTTCAACTCGAGTGCCCTAGCAATACCTCCATATTTAAATAGACTATTTATATAATGTGTAGGATGGCTGCTAGATTGACACCATTGTGATGCCGAATGCTATTTAATTGAAAGGCGAACACGCTATCTAAGAGCTGTAAGACAAAATTTAGCTTTAATTAGGTTACTTGATTGTACTTTGTTTATTATGCGCTCGGTGTAGCATATTGTTGTGCTCTGATGGGACACTTCCGTTTATGATAATAATAGTGAATATAAATTATAAAGTAATCATAACACTCCTTTTTCTTTGTTTGCTTCGTAATGTCTTCAGCAAGTGGGGGTGGCAGTTTATCAGGCCCTGGAGGATCATTATTATCTCCGCCATCTGAGATGATCTTACCACCTCACGCTTCGAGTCATCCGGGAGGCCACCCAGGGGGGCATGGCTCTCCCCCTGGAGGTCATCCTGCTGGATCTCTCACACCTGGCCATACCACCCAGGGAGTCGTACAATCGCCGCCCGCAAAATGTCCCTGCGCTGCTTGTGGAGGCGCCATACAGGACCGGTAAGCTCAATTCAAACTAAAGCAGGATCCGTTCGAAACTGCGTAATGATGTCGGATGGCGTAGTCGTGTATTCATACGCAGCTATGCATCCGCGGGTTGTAGATTTGCCCCCCGCTGAGGGTGTAAAAAGATTGCTTGTGATTAAATATGACAAATGATAAAGATTCGAGAAGCTTTTTACAGTAATCTCTATCGGCTGTGCAGAGCGAGTGCTCAAAGGCAAAATCCTGCGGAAAGCGTACTGGAAGGAAAAGCTAAGCAGATACACTTTCTAGGGATAAACTCATGACCATAATTTTCAATAACATCCGAATCTATAAAGGCAAATAGTAGTCAGCAACAGTAAGGGATTACCAGTAGTAGGAGACAAGCACGGCAGCAACAACAAAACGCACTACTCTCCGACCGTGTAGATTCGCGTTGAAATATTAGCCTGCCGCCAGTCTGACGCGACTGGTGGTGAAATCTACTACGTTTTGCAACGCGCTATACATTACCTAAGATTTTCTTTATTATTCTCAGAACGATGTTTGTAAGCCGTTACAGAGTCCCCATTCCTCGTAAATAAATCAAGCAAATTTGTACAATTTTTATAATATGTAATCTTTTCATATAATATTATTTTATGATTGATGTAAAATATAAAATAAATGGTACGACGAGCGACCATCTTCAACGAACGTTCTATTTTTATGTAAAATAAAAATGAAAATGCAAAAAGATACAAGTTAAGCGAGTTTTTTTGAGGAACGATTTATCAAACTATGTCCAAACCGCATATAACGGACGGCGTGCCTTGTCAGTAGACATACTATAGTAACGAATGAAATTCTGGGCGAAGACGTTTTCAATGTAAAAATCTATCGATGTAATGTCAATGTAAAAAGCTATCGAATAGTGTACAGTACACAGGTATGTATCTAAACAATCGATGTTTTTGTTATTAAAGTTAATACTTGCAAGTGAACCATCGATTAAATAGAACAATGTATTTTCGAGTTGGATTATCAGTAGAAATTTAACAGACGGCGCTATATCGCCCACTGCATCAGATGGTCAACTCTCGATCGACCGACCCAGTTAGCTTTACTGACGATTGGCGAGGCAAAGCTGTCGGATACTAACTTCAGTCATCTCATCAGACATAACTAACCAGAGACTAGTTAGTATGTACTGCCTCGTCTACTGTGTTTTTCTTTGAACTCTTCACGATGCTTAAATCAAACACCTTCATTACTATACATAAAAATACCGTAGAGTGATCACCGTAATTTCACATTCGTTTCTAATTATAGGAATACATACATACATAATACTTAAATGGAGCACTCGCGTTTCTAACGTTTTGCAATTGTTTGCCCAATCTGTCGCTTAATACTGAGCCACAGAATTCGCATTGTGTTGTTCTGCGACGGGTGGTGTTGTTCTAATTGTTGTCATCGTATGGCAAACGATAGGTGTACAACTGCACACAAAAGCATACACAACTAATAGGCAGTCCGGCCTATTCTACCACGTCTAGCTGCGGGACCTACACATACGCACGCATGTACAAATGTCTCCCTCTTACCCTGCCCGCTGGCTGGAACGACTAAGCTCTTAGAAGGCGTAGTACTGAGCCCTAACAACCTCCGCTTGTTTTGCCTTGCCATCCCACTAGCAGCACCATGATCAGCCCAAGTCCATCTTGTGCCTGTGCCAGTAACGTGGACCAAGCGACGCTAGCTGGGTTGTTCGGCTTTACGGTGACTACGCCGAAGACGTAGAAGGGAAGGGTTACTTTAAATTCGGTTTGGTCGGTTCCACCGGTAGCGTCAAGCAGAGCACTAGTTACGGGAGTAACAAAATGAGGAATTGGAGAGGAAAATGGCGCATTGGATGGAGTAGATGGAGGGTGATGGGGTTATCAAGGGGTCTCAATTTGGCTATTTTCTCTGTTTCTCTTCGTTCGCCCACTGCCACGTCCGCCAACAGCAGCACCACTGGAGCGACCGTCGCCGCGGCTTTTCAGAGGTAACAACCTTCGCACAACTATCGATGGCGGTACTAGCGGCGCGGGCGGGGGGAACGGGGGGGGGGGGGGGGGATAGAAACGGTCGGGTCCTCCTCAGTTAGTCCATTCCATGGCTGAGCAGCACACCCGCAGACACCCCGCGGCATCCAATAGCTTCTTAACGACATCTCATCAGCAAACACGCTTTTCTGCTAACACATCTCGCACATGGAAGAGCGTGGGAAAGACAGCGGGTTTCGGTACAAAGACAGAGGTGCGTGTGGGGCTGAAAAAGGAAGGAGAAGATTGGGGCGTTGCGAAAGACAGGAACGCTGTTTTTTCATAAATCGACGGTAATTATTATGATGGTTATGGCTTTTGGTTAATACCTTCGTTGTTATCCGCCGTCATGAGGAAGAAATATGTGCGAGTTTTTTTTACTTGGCTTTTGTTACTACTGAAATTTTCTACGTGTTTCATGTTGCTCTCTGATACGTATGTTAATGTAGTCTTCCATATTCTACTGTGGAGACAATATATACTATTATATTAGTCGTCTGCAACAACCTTGGTTAGGTCTCGATTGCGATGTATCGATTGCCATGATCAGCTGTCCGTAAGTGTGGCTATACATCGTTGACATTAGGTTGCGGATATTCCTATTTTGAACCTTTTTCTTCTATTCGTGTCTTAATAATAAAAAAAAAAAAAAACAGCCACACCTTATAGCGTTGGGCTATCTACAATAGATGCACAAGCCACAAAACTGTAGACACGTTCGCACAGAACTTATGGTTAGCTCCTCAAGAAACGCGAGTCAATTCAGTTAGAATGTTGTGTTAGTGATTTAGGTAGCAAGCAGTTATACAAGTTAGTAAACTTGGTAAAGTTTCAAACAACTCAATTGTATCTAGTAGTCGAAAACGACTTCTTCATCCTAGTAAAATTAATCCGTTTTGGACTTTTTTGGAACAAATCAAGTACTGGCCAATATGTCTTTGTAAAGTGTGTGAGGTTCGAGCATTACAGCAAAAGTAAACAACGTAAATACAGATGAGTTAGGATTAATTGTAGAAGATGTAGTCTTCATTTATACAAATGAAGTCTTGTTATGCGCTATCTATGCTTATATGTATATATTTCCACGTATGCATTAATTTATCTACTTATACCATAGTTTTTATTTTAATTTACTGTGATTTTGACCACGACACAGCCTTTTCGAGCCGAATGGTCAAGAGCAGACGACAGGTGGGAAAAGCATAATAAAACGTTTTAGATCTTATTGTTCTCCAATAGTTACAGGCAATTACACTGATATGATCACCTTTGTTTAGGTGATACCGCTGTTTTGGTTCAGATGACGCTGCTGCTAATTACAGGGGACCTATCTATAATAAATCCGGCCGAACAACTAAATTAATTTCGTGATTAGGATGAACGTTATAAGGTAGATTTTAGGAGCTTGCCATAGCTTTAACTCTAATTATGACGTAGGTGCTACTATAGTATGCTTATTGCAATCGTTAGTGGCCCCGTCAGATAGCCTTGTCGTTGACCAATGGGATCGGGGTTGTCCTGAAATGATCTGTCCTACGTTCAATTTCTATCCTGCAACGCTACATTAATGCTTTTGAATGTCTAGCTAACTCATCTAAAAAGATCTAGGTGGATTTAACATACGTTGCATTTTATGGAATAGGTGTTCTCTTTATAATCCATGCAGTATATATATATATATATATATATATATATATATATATATAGTTGCTATAATTATTGTTACCAGAATAACAGCAGTAGGGTGGCTATGCTCCTAAGGATGAATGGGTGGTTGATCAACTGCGGCAATATTACATAAGTTGATCACTAAGAAACGCTAAATGTCACATATCATTAGATCTATGGAAGCAGTCGAGGGGGAACTGGCCGGAACGGTTAACATTCAAAAATGGCCGGGTGAAGGGTGCAAAACGTGAAACTCGCTTTTTTGGGCGTCTACGCAAGCGTGCTCGACCATCCCAATTACGACCGGGCAAGCTGAACAAGCTGACTGATAGGCGAACCAATGACGAGCTTTGTACAAAGAACGATGACTTCTTTCGTATACAGATCAATGCCATACATGCATAGGTTCATTCAATCCAATTACGACAATAAGGAAATATCAGTCATCAATAAGAGCATAATTTCATTTGATAGTTTTCATTTATCAGAAACTAGATAAATTTCTGCCACGCAGGGGTACACTCCATATCAGTGTGATGTAAATCTTGAATATACAGATTACACATGCGGCATTTACAGAGACAACGCTGATATGATGGGAATCTATGTGGACGTTGATAACACTGGGTATGATGACATCAATAGGTATATATACACGGCAAAATTTGATTTCAATAATGGAAATTAAAATAATTTTCAATAATTATTTAGTTACCGAGCTATTTTTGTTCATTCTATTGCTACGCATGTCTGAGTATCATTGTTTGTTGTTGCATTTCCCGTGGCTGAGTTTTTGTTCGCCAGAGGTCTCGCTCTGAAGTATAACGTTTATAATTTACCCATCACATTCAAGTATAATTACTAGGCTTACGCTGTCAACCTTTACCAAGCATGACAATCACTATAAAGCACATAACGAATACCTTCAATTAAACATTTCTATTAGACCTAAACTTATGGCATTGTAATAATAATAGATTTGCGGTTGATTTTCAAATTACTTTTTACAGGTACTTCTTGCACGCGATGGATCGTTACTGGCACCACTCGTGTTTGAAGTGCAGTCTGTGTGGAACACCCCTTGCGGACATCGGCAGTTCGTGTTTTTTAAAAAACGAAATGATTCTTTGTCGGGACGATTATATCAGGTAAGAACCTGCCTTGTTGTTCTAGAAACGATGAAAACTGTTGTTCATTATGGTCGCCCGATTTCAAGCTACTCAATCTATTGGCATGGTACAATTTTTGTGCAAACCAAATGGTACGTCTATAGTGAAACCTGTAAAACGTCGAAGTGTATATACTGAAAATTAGATGTCAATAAAAGCGTAGCTATAGGCGACAAGTTGCAGCTTCATCTATCTACTAGTTTGATGGATTGACAGCACTAAATGCCCTGTAAAGGGATGCGTCTGTATTTGTCTGCAACGTTTAACATATTCAGAATTAAAAAATGCGAAAATGTACGGAATCGAAGATGAAACCCAGCAGACAGAAGCGATATGCAACAACCGTCATAGAGAAGCATAGAGTGCCTACCGCATTCGGAGCATACAATCCAGAAATGAACAATAGCTATAACATGGTTTCATACGTACACCGAACGCTCATGCGCAACCCCTTACACAAAACTCGTGTGGTCATGATATTACCCCAAGCACCTAGCAGCTGGTGATTTCGCTTTCGCAAACCGCAACGTGGGCGCAACCAGCAGACTCTCTCCCACAATCGAGAGGTATCCGATTCCTTTAGATCGCACCCAGGCAAAGTGCAAAGGCGTATACGGTAGTACATTAAACACCTTACTTTAGGCATTTAATGTACTGCTGTTACACCTCCTTGCAGTCTCCTAAGCACTCGTTTCACACATTTCGCTCGTCGTTTTTCTAGTCGTTTGTCTAGTTAAATGGGGGCATCCTGTCACTGAACGGGCAACGAGTGCGCGAAAGGATGAAAGCGCGTCGCCAGCCAGCTGAATTCAACCACATGCGTCAGAGTTTCTGAAGTCTTTTAACCTGTACAGTGATTTAGTTCACACCGATGTCGAAGAGAGATCTCCTATTGTACAAGTGTGAAAAAACGTCTGCTGCCTATCATGAGGACTGCATACGCCACATAACGGCTATTTTACTTCTAACTGCATTTAATGGTGTTTGTCTGTAGAAACCGAATAGTTGCCGCGCACACTTTTCACGTGCTGCATGAATGGGATGACCTTAAGGAATGATTATCGAGACTGGTGAAGAACGAGGGAGCGCATTTGCATGCTTCAAACTTTGAAAATTAGATTTCAGTAGTTCACATCAGAATCATGTCCAATTGCTTTCCTCTTCATGCGAAGTACCCTCTTTAACGAGTGAGCATGGCCGGCGCTAATGGTCGTTTCGATAGTCATCAGCGCCATTCTCCTTGATTCTATCGTTGTTTCTCGGCAGCGAATGTATCTCTTCGTAGTAAGGAGATACGTTTCGCGGAGGACTATGGTCGCTTGGCTTACGAGGAGTTACAGGAACGAGAAGGTAGCCTTGCCGTACATTTAATCTCCAATAGCCTCTTGCACACCCTCCAATCCGTCCAATGCATCCCCTCTTCCACTCTCATCGAGACCGGCAGCCGGGCAGCTCCTAGCCAGCTTCACCGGCTTTCGCGCGCTGGGGCAGCTTACCCCATCCTACTTGCAGCCCCTGTTCAGTAGTACGGGCTTGCTAAGTGCACTTTCAAGTTGCTTTTAGAGATCAGACCGGCTCCCCCGCTCTCTTACGCAATGGTCGCCTAGAAAAGTAAGGGTAACTAAAAGAAGAAGTAGCGGGCAGACTTTGGTAAGACGAGGCAAAGCACGGAAGGAATTGGGGGTTTAGAATTGCGCGGTGGTAGGGGATGGGGACGGATGGGGCAAATGGGTAAGAGGGACAACTGCCCGAAAATACTTCTCGATCAGTCCTCGCGTCCCTGCAAACTCGACCCCTATACGCGTTCGGGCTCTGGGGGTAGCGCGCTAGTGCTCCTGTAGTGCTTCATTCTCTTGAGAGAAAACGTACAGAGAGAGGAAAAAGAGAACACATAGGCTACTCCCTTAAATTTCTACAGAAGGCAGCGTCATTTGTTCGTTCTCGTTTTCATCGTTCTCCTCTTGTGTTCAGACACACAAGAGGAGAACGAGAGCGAGGACAGCAACTAACGCGCTCTCACCGGAAACGGACGTACGTTGCCATGTCTGCGAATATCGTCTGCTCACATAGACTTTGTTTATCTGACATCACCCGTTTACGCCTCGTCCGCGGTGCGCTGTATTATTCGTGCGCGCACGCGCAATGCACATTGTGCCACATGGCAACTGTACGTTACGTTTCATGTTCCCGTATCTATCACTTGTTTGTGTATACGGTATTATTCGAAGTGGACGGGAATTGGCGTCCATCACATCGCTTCTTGGCATATTACTGCCAGCTATGTAGGACAAACACGAATCTGAACCCTGCGCAGCTGCTTCTGCTTCGACTCCATACTAAAGTCCCCTTCATACCATGTGCGCGCGTGCTGCTGCTGCAACTTCTTTCTGGCAGCGGCAGTAGACGGCGGCTGTAACTGGTGCTGCTGCTGCTCTCGTCCACGATTCTGCCCGATGCTTTAAAAGCGGCGGCGCACTCTTTACGTCTCGCGAGGGGTGTGGGTGACCGACGGGGGCGGCTGGGGCTATCGGACGAGCAAACGCCTGCCAGAGGGCAGGCAGACCGAGCAGGCAGCGAGTAGGATAGAGAAGGTTTCCAGGTTCCTCTCGACACTAAAAGCATATACAAGCCTGCGTTCCTTCTCCCATAAGTGCATTACAACCCCCTTCCCGGCGGTCTGGCTCCGAACAACGCCCCAATTTAGCGTCCCGTTGTGCCCTATGTCCCTTTCTACCCGCTGCTTGTGTGTATGCCCTTGGCGGATACTGCCGCTCCCCACCTCCTCTCCGGTCGGCCGACTTGCGCCGCGACCGCTGCTGCCGCCGTCGCCAACGGTTTCTTCGCGTACACAACACTAATGCCTTTGGGGCCTCAAGGGACAGGCAATCGGGGCGCAAACCAGCCAGCCGGCCGGTCGACCGGCAGGGCCTTTTAAGGCCTTTCAAAGGTGTTTCCAAGGTATTATGGCGATTAGCCTCACCACCGCTGCCGCTGCCTCAGGCCAGCACGATACGGCAATACTAGTAGCACTAGGCTCTTGCTGCTGCCTCTGGTGGTGCGGATGTTGTGCCTCCAGTTGGGCTGGTATCGAGCCGACTGCCGGATAGGGCTTTCTACCCTTTTCATCTCAACTTCTGACAATTGCCAAGTTTGTCCACCTTCCGTCTCATCCTCGTTCGTTTGCTTCCACCCCTTCTATTCCTCATGCACTTGCACTAGCACTCACAGGATAGCTTGCTTGCTTCGTCTTTCAGAGCAGGTTAGGTGGATGGCGACAGGGCAGTGTGGAGGACTTGGGGTCCGGCTGCGATTGAACTGGGGACTAGATGGCAACTGCGACTTCGGCTGGGATAGAAGGCAAGCAATCCACTTCATCGGTGGGCAATCACGACACTCATTCCGCCTGTGCACACCACAACCGCTGCTGCCGATGCCAGTTCCCTCGATAGCTAGCCAACCAGCGAGCCGGCCAACTGCCCCCTTTTCCTTCTCCCCTCGGGAATCTCGCCTTTGCAGCCTATGATGACCAGTACCGCTATCATAAGCTGATAAAGTGCTGCTCCTTTCTCCATGAGAAAGAAACGAATGCCAACGAAACTACTTTCTGTTTAGGGAGCAGAGGGGATCTTCCAAGATGCGACACTAGAGTACATAGCGAAGCCACCATTTCTCATACCCCTTTTTACTTTCTGTTCTTTCCTTTACAGCTACTTCCGCACAACTAGTGGTAATAGTGATACTAGAGCAGTCTCGGAACAACTATTTGCCGTCACTGTTACGGCTGCGATAGCAACAAGAGCCCATGGGATCAAAATGGCGTTGCAGCCACTGCCCCTGATGCTTTTGTGGTTGCAACACGGTTAAAATGGTTGTTGGCTTACAGCGCCAGAAATTAGTAGCTAGTTGTATAACAGAAACTAACATTAACTTACTGCACCAGGGTTCTGGAGGCACCCTATGCCACGTCATGCTATTCTTTACTTCGGCCTGTTAGTGAACGTTATTAGAACAGAGTGTGTAAGCTTGGAAGTACGTGAGCCTTCGTAACGCAACAAAAACTTCGCTATCAGCAGCTCATCGCCGCGGCCGGTGCTGCCGCGGTGATCAGAACCGAGGTCGAAGAGGCTAACACGGGGGCAAAGGACGAACGTTGTATGGCGCTATATGGAAGCCGTACTAAGCCGCCGGAACGAGGGGTGCTGCTCCGTAGGGAGTATTCCGAGTTGAGAAAGAAGGGGCCCATTGCCCTGGGGGTAACGTACCGAGGTGGGAGTTTGTGCGAAGTAATTGAGGCTTGCGAAGTCTCTCTGCCCGCTGCCGCTTGTCTAGGGTCCGTCAAGGGCCTATGTGACCCCTGTTGGGAGCATCTGAGTATGGCAACCGTACTGCAATGGCTCCACTCAAAAGGGCATGCATAATTCATAGAAATGTTAACTGCACTCACAATGCTTTTCCGTCCCCAACGACTGGCCCGACAAGGAGAAAGGAGTTTCTCATGGTTCCCTTTCGAGTCGAGCGTATACTGCCGCAGCAAGCCTTCATTGAAACAGTCCCATATCCTCAAGTCTTTCCGTACCCCAGGGAACAGCCAGCTGAACGAGCTGGTTCGCCGCCTTCTCGAGTCCCAATCCATTTCGAACTCGCGCCAGTGTTGACATTTTCTTTGAGCTTCGTTTCGAGTCTGCTAGATTCAAGTATTAGCCTTCCTTTTAGTTGCCTGTCGATGCTGGATACTACTCTCCATCGCCTCCCCTGCATGGAGAGAGCGGCGGGCAACAGCGCGTATGTATTACTGTGCCATGCGTAAATATACGTTTAATGCGCTACCTGTAACTGCTGTTACTGAAACAGCAACAGCTGACGCGGCCGCTCCTGTTGATGATTGTCATTCGTAGAAATGATCTAGGTCGGTTTGTTTTATCTAGTATATAAAAAGCTAGAGCTCGGTTTATCATATCGTTACTGCTTCTCTTCCGCTT